AATTGGAGGCAAACCAATTTGTTCTTGCGGAATAGTGGAATTCTTTTTAAAGTATTCTGATACAACATCTATAACAAGAAATATTAAATAAAAAGAATTTCCATAACAAAAACAGTTAATTATTTAAAAAATTACAACTGTAACGATGGATAAAAGGAAAGAACACTCACGTAACAATTCATCAAAGTTATTCAGAACTTTTGTTTGAATTTCTTTATTTATCTTAGATATTTCTGTATATTTTGAAATCACTTGTTTTTGAAGATCCATATTTAACGTTATTAATTCGTTAATCATTATTTCTTTATCTTTTATTTGCGCCTTCAGTTTTATGCTTTGCGAACGCAAATCTTTATTTTCTTTTAGCAACTGTGCTATCTGTAATTGAACACACACACATTTATAATTTACACACACATACACGCACACGCGCGCACGTACGTACACTCACCTTTTTATCTTTATCACTTCCATTAAATTTTTCTTTCTTTTGAATTAAGTAATCCTAGAATTCAAAAATTTATTTTATTTTCACAGTTATTTGTGAAAAAATCGAGATTACCCAAGTAGCAAGTTAACGTTGTCATTTTGACATCGAACTGTCCTTATTTGTTATCATTTTAACAGCTTGTTATCTGAATATGTTGTATTGATATCTTGCTAAGCAAATAACACTCTTGTGTGTGGAATGTTGATTTTTTAAATGTTTTATAAATATTTCAAAAATGTTATTGTTTTATTTATTTTAATATTTATCGAAATGTTGTAAAAACGTCTTGGAAATATTATTTTAAATATGAAAGGTCTATAAATGTTCTATAAATAATTGTGGAATGTAATAGTAAACGATTTGCTAGGTGGTGTATGTTTTTCATACGTATAATTTATGTTCTGAAATATAATAGAGTTTAGAAGTTGACATTTAACCAAGAGATACGATCATGCCTTACATTAAGTGTATGCAAAGCACTGAGACTGATAATATACATATATACATATAATATCTTACGATTAAATTATTTGCGTACACATATCGAGGGACGTAAAAAATTAGTCTTAAAATTCATGGACTGCATTGTGTACTTTTGTCATACTTTTGTTAAATTTACAGTCATTTCATGTATCACTAACATCGCTTATTATTACTGAAATATATTATAATAAACCAACATAAACACACACAAGGAAAACATGAGTTAGTCATTATTTATATAATTATATTATTCTTATTTCAACATTACATTACTAACATCATATGATCGGCAAAGTTTGTTCATAATGATGTATATAATATTAAAGCTGTGTATTTGGAAACATTATACGTTATTGTAATAA